ATCCATACAGTAGACTACTCTTGGTTTACAAAGAATAAGCAACAGTGGGACCACATTCCCTCCCACAGTTCTCAGCCACTTATGCTAAGTGTTCCAAACCCCCTGAGGGGAGCATGTACCTGCAAAAGCCATGCAGACATTGTCATCGAGGGCACAGATCTTCCGTACAGTCCTTTCATCCTGCAGTTTTGCCACAGACTTCTTTTCCACACCAAGAACAACAATATCCTTCCCTCTTACTCCAACCTTCAACACATTAAAAGAAGAACAAGTTAAGCTTTTAGGGCCTCAAACCTCGGTGAGCTTCAGAGTGCACCGAAATTAGTAGGAAAACCCAGGACACACAAACCCCCCCACTCTGTAAGTGTTATTTCAGCTTGAAACCAGTATTTTATTTCCTATTGCCACAACCTGGGGCAAGGGCTGATGTTACAAAACCTGCAGTGGATTCCAGGGTGCAGTTTTACAATCAATTATTACCGTTTAAATCTATGTGGCTCTCAGAGATACAATCCCACTCCTGTCACCAACCCTGCCTTCCCAAGACCAGTCGGAGTGTTTGTGCAGCCACAGAAGCAGGATCAACAAAACTACCACTACAACTGTTCCCCTGGTACTGCTCAAGGCAGACCCCACAACACTGAAGGTCAGAGCAAGTAAAACCTGATGAGCAGCCCGCCAGGAGTTTGCTGCCTTCATGTCAGCATGTGAATGCTCCATCCCTGGTGGTGTTCAAGGCCAGGTTGGACAGAGCCTTGGGTGACATGGTTTAGTGCGAGGTGTCCTTGCCCACGGGAGTGGGGTTGGAACTGGCTGATCTTAAGGTCCTTTCCAACCTGAACTATTCTATGATTCTATGTCCTAATCCATACTTTGGATATACCTTTTCCAGTATCAGGGACAAAAGAAACCCTTGGTCTTTCTCACTCATTCCCAGTGGTTCTCTAAGGGGTGATGGGAATCATTTTTTCTTATGGGATGGCTGTCAGTGTGTTACAGACTTTTCCAACCAACTACTCAGCAAGAGAGGCAGAGGTTGATTATATTTGATGTCTGCTCCACTTTTACAGTGTTTTTCATTTCTGTGAGATAAAGAAGGCCACCTCTTTGGCACTAAATGTCATTATATTTATTCCACCCCAAGGACAGTAATTTTTCTTCTGGGTATTTTGTAATTTGGAAATTAATACTTCTTTTTTTTTCTCCCCAAATGATAAAAAAACCCTCACTGAGCAAAACCTCGGGACACGCGAAGGCTGGGAGCCATAAAGTTACTTCTATGTGCTTTTACTGACACGTTTTCCAGTCTACTGGTGACCCGCGAGTGCACAAGCACGGAGCGCTGCCACTGCCACCACACAGAGCAACAGCACAGGCCCAGCGCCGTCCGGGGCTCCGCAGCACCTTCCTCCCCACGGCGGCCTGTACCGGGCTTCCAGCGCAGGGCTGCCAGGACGCGGTGCCTGCCCCGGGCCTCACGTTTCGTGCTCAACGCACAAAACTTCCGACTTTTGCCCCGAAAACCCGCAGGCACGGCCGGAGCCTGACAGGAGCACGGCACCCACTGAGGGAAACGGTGCTGTTTAAGGCAGCTCCAGCCCCCGAAGTCAGCCCGAGCGCCTCAGGGCATCTCCCGTGGGGCCTCACCCCAGCAGCCCGCTCGGTGACGGGGAGGCGCAGGCCCCACCGCGGGCCTTCCCTCAGCGAGCGGCCCGGCACACCCGCCGCTCTCACTCACCGCCGTGGAGCCCTTCTTCACCGCCTCCTGCGCGTACTCCACCTGGAAGAGGTGCCCGTCCGGGGAGAACACGGTGATGGCCCGGTCGTAGCTCATGGCTGCGTCCCGCGGGGCCGGAACCTGCCGCTCCCTCAAAACCGCACACTCATCGCCAGCCCCGCCCGGCGCGGCGGGAGGCGGGGCCTCGCCTGCGCTCCTAGCGTACGGAGCTCAGCGCTACGCATCCAGCGTAGGCGGCCGCCTCGCCTCTCTCCATCGCCGCTCTGGCGCACTTGGCGTACCCGGCGGCCGTCCTACGCAGTTGGCGCAGGCGGCGGCTGCCGGCGGAGGCAGGGAGCCGCCGCTCGCCTGCGACAGGAAGCCCGGCAGCAGGGACGCACCATGTGCGGCCGGCGGGGAGGCGGCGGCGCGGCCGCTTCCCGCCCCTTCCCCAAATCCCCGCCGGCGCTCCCCCGGCACGGGCCGGCGGCGCGGGCAGCGAGGCGAGGGCGGTGCGGACGGGTGGCGGTGCGGGGCCGGTGGCTCTTTGCGGGGCGCAGATCGTACCATCTGCGGCGGCCCCCCCCCTCCCCGTGCACTGCGGAGAATCCCTGCACGGCAATAGCGGCCAGATAATAACAATATTATTAGAGGCTGGAGCAGATATATTATAGCCACATAAAAAAACCCCACCATGTCGGTTGCCTTTGCTTCTGCTCGCCCAAGAGGCAAAGGGGAGGTCACCCAGCAAACTATCCAGAAGGTAAAAAGAAAAACAGCATGCTTTTATACAGCGGATTTTAGCCGTTTCTTCCGCCCGTGCCCCCGGAGCTGAGGAAGGAGGCGGATTGCTGGGGCGATCAGGAGAACCAGGGAATTTGCGAGGGCTGCAGAGATGGACAGCTGGAGAGAGAGGTGGGGGAAGGAGGAGGAGGAGGAGGTGGAACAAAGCAAAGGTGTTCAGATCGCTGCAAAGAGAGAGCCGGAGGAGGACTTGGGAATAAAATCGGGATGGCACGTTATCTCTGCCGCTCGTAAGGGGGGAAAAGCTGCCAATAATACATTGGGAGATGGCAATGCAGTTAATATGATTAATTCAGGACGGTGTGTCAGCTTCTGCACCCCCAACCCCCAAATCCAACCTAAAAAAAAAATGAATTAAAAGAAAACAGTGAATTTGCAAAGGTTTTCTTTTGTATTTGGGTGCGGAATGTTAATCTCGCTGAAGATAGAGGGAGCACCGCTCGCTGACATCCCTCACACAGCGGTATTTGCGAGGTGCTTATGGACATTTCGTGACAGACAAAGGTTTAGGAGAGGTTTTCTCTGGAGAGCAGCTCTCCGCATGGGTGTCAGGTGGAGGCCGGAGCCCAGGGCTCCCAGTTGGGAAGTTATTGTCTCCTGTTCGGCAGGGCTGCAGCAGGGACCGCACGCACATGCCCGGCGCCCCTTCCTCCCGCAGCCGGTCACGGTCAGCGCCGAAGAGGCTGGAAATGTCAGTGAGGAACGTGCGTGTTTTCACCGCCACCGCTGCTCGTCACCCGTGCTCGTGCCCTGCGCGGGTGGGGTGCGGGTGCGAGGAGCGGTAGGAGCGATAGGAGCGAGGTGTGTGTGTGCCCGGAGCGGTCCAGCGTGAGCAGGGACCGGGGGGAAGCGCCATTGCTACCCCATCAGTGACCGGGCTTTGGTGCCCAGTTAGGACTTCTAAGGAAAACCCCAAACCCTCAGTAGAAGCCTGTGACAGAGCAGAGATGAAGGCAGGGAAACTGCCGCAAGAGAGGCTGGAGAGGGGGCTTGAGTCTCTGGAGGCTGTTTGGAAACTGATCCCGTTTGTGCTGCTCTTACAGCACGTGTGGGATTGTGGAGTCATTGATTTTCAATACTAAAATGTTTCAGTCTTGGTGGATAAATTTCTCCTAACCTCCACGTTGGGTTTTTAATTCAGATAGTTTGGGCTTTGTCTGTTGTGGCCACAGACAAAGGCAGCCAAAGTAATTCAGTTGGATTTTCAAACTCTTTCCTTTTGCATATTCATCAACTTTATGGAAGTTTCAAAATGTTATTTCTTTACAAATAATGTGCAAAACCGTCTTGTGTTTCGGGTACAGCTGCTGGTATGTTACTTCAGGACTGCTGGTATGTTACTTCAGGACTGCTGGTATGTTACTTCAGGACTGCTGGTCGATGCTGGGCTGTTGGCAGTGATTTCTGGCAAGTGATGGTGCTGAGAAAGAGACTTGAAGGCACAGAAGTGGGATGGGCTTTATAGTCATGTACAGAAATGGGGCAATGACAGAAGAGTGTAGAAAAGGGGCAGATGCCGTGCTAGAAGCTTCAAAAGTGTATTAAAGTGAGCGTTGTAGAACACATACCTATTAATTGAAAGATTCTTATTTGCATTTGTGGTATATAAGGATCTTACTTTTATTTATTAGCTCAGTTTCAAGAGCCTTTCAAAGCTGTTACTATTCCAGTACCAACAGCTCCTAAAATCAATTTCACATGGAGAATGTTAGAGCCGTTGGCAATAGAGCAGTGACAGTGATGCTTTAAAATAGTTCCTCAAACAGCATTTGCAGGCCAGTAAACTTCAGTTTCTTCTGTGCAATGGAAATCAGAACTTGGTTACTGAGTTTACTAAGTGTACTGACTTAGGAAGTCAGGAAAGAGCTGTTCCTGATTCCTTTATTGGTAAGGAAAATGTTCTTCAGCTAATTGTAGAAGCATAGGCCTTTTCTGAGGGAGATATGTGTAATATTGCTTGGACTCTTGCTATTGAATATGTATCTTAACTGAATGTGGGAACGTTGTCGGTGATGTCTGTTGTGGAAACTGAAAAGGACACGTTTGTATTCTTTGCTGATTCAATATGCAGAGTTTCCACTGAGATGGGTGAATATTCTGCACGCTGCACTGGGAACCAGGCAGGAGTATTTTCCCTTCAAATTCCAGGCTCACCTTGGGTTGCCACGTGAGCATGCCAGGTCCTTGACTGACAGGGTTCCGATGTTCCCTGTCAGGGTGCGAGGCGCAGCCTGCAGACTACAGCAGTGCCTCTGCTCCTTGCCCCTCGCTGGGGAGCTCCAGGGGATCGCTGCAGTCAGTGATGGACAGAGGGGTCCAGCCAAGCTCAGCCCAACCTGCAAAGTACAAGCAAGCACCGGGAGCCGCTGTGCTCTCTAAGGCAGTGATTGAGAGTGCACCAGAAAGACTCTGCTCATTTGCCTATAATCTCTTTGCATGTGAATGGGTCAAGAACTGGTTTTGATCAGAACTTGGATTAATTCACATTGTCAAAACCATCTTATTCTTTCCTCGAGAGTTCTTCTGTCCTGATGACACTGTGGGTCAAAAGCCCACTCTTACAAGCACTTAATAGCAGCGGTACCTACGATCTGTATTACGTAGTGAGTTTTTGCCAGAGGCAAGTCTAAATTTGTGAATACTGTTGTTGTTTTTCCATTCACTCACCCTCAGAAGGCTCCCACATCCACAGGAAAGCTGTGGGAAAGAGGCAAACTGTTGTTGTTGAAATTTGAAAGCAAATTAAAGGGTATTTTAAGCTTATAATTGCATTATAAGTTCATGAAATAAAGGTCAGTGGTCATTCTGTCCAGCGGCTCTGCTCCTCTTGGAACAAGTCAGTCACTAGAATTTATTGTATGAAGCTAAGATAGCGGCCACTGATAAACATAAATTAACTGATATATAACTACTTTGTGTTTTCATTGTAAGTCCTCCCTGCATTAGGACTGAACTGAACCCCACAGGACATGTTGGGATGTAGTTGTCTTAAATGTGGTTTTGGTGGATCCAGTAATGTGTATTTTACACTTCCTCAGGCTCGGTAGTCTGCACATGGTAGTCCCATGCAGGAAAAGTAGTGGGTTCAAACTGCTTTGAAAGTGTTTATCACTTGGAAGTAGACATGTCAGCAAAATCTGCAGTTTTGGAAAGGGCGAGTGATGGTTTAGAATGAGGCAGGGGTGTTTCATAGCGAAAGCATTTGCCTTCTTCAGCATCAAAATCCATCTGCCAGGGAAGGAGCAAAAAAGGTAAGCCCCTTAATTCTTCTGTGTTGGGTATTTCAACCGATTCCTTTAAGGAGAACTGTTCATAAATGAATGAAAAACACAACCTTGTGACTCAACAAAATCATGTGCAGGAACCTTGTAACATCCCAAGGCAACAGAACTGACAAACCACCACCCACTGCCGTGAAAGGTGACTGTGGGGCAGCACAAACCTATGGGACTTCAGTATGGTTCTCATAGTAACGTCTTTTGATCATATTTCTTTTACGCAGATGCTAGATGAAAATCACCACCTAATACAATGCATTATGGATTATCAGAGCAAGGGGAAAACTGCAGAGTGTACTCAGTGAGTATTATGAGTTTTGGAGCATGTTAGAACTTTTGGGTGTATTTGTTGTCAGGAACAGTCCTATGAACAGTTCTGATCATTGAGAATACTTGGGCTCTTTGTTTAGATTCACTTGTATTTATGAATGGATATTGTTCTTGGAAGGGAGGGCTTTTCCTGAAGGATTTGATTATTTAGTGTTTACAGTATTTTTAACTGGTCATTTATTATAATAATTATAAACAGTGATGGTTATTGGACCACTTGCTCTATGCAGATTCATTAAATAAATTTATATATGCAATATAATATTAATTCATTAAATAAAGTAGAATCATGTATAAAGTTAATAACACATTTTCATCAGAAAGTAATTCAGTGTTAAAGATCAGCCATGTGGTTACCTGTGGTTAAAACCATGTGCATGTAGAAGTGCCAGTTTGTATCACTGCTTACTATTCCTAATCTTTAGTATTTAATAGATATAGCCTTTAGGTGCTAAATCTCATCCAGAAGAGCAGCCAACCTGCCCATGAAAGGTCAAGTCATGGGGCTGTACTTTCAAGCTACTTGTCTAAGAAAGGCCCCTTCGCTAAAGAAGTCGTGTCACTGTTCTAGCTTCACCTTTCCGTTCTTCCCCACTTCCCAGCCATTTTCCTCTAATCAGAAGACAACTCATGCTAAAAAAGCATTTTTGTTCTTGGAACCCTCCTCCCTGTTTCCAGAGGTTTGACTCCTCACTTTGCTCAGTGGCACAGCTCTCAGTTTGCTTTCGGGTGCCCTTCTGGTCTTTACTATGAGCTTTTCCAGTTCATCGAGAACTGTGAAGAAGCATCAATGGTTGAGGTGGTGCTTACTTGAGTAAACACTCCAGTTGGAGCACTCTTGAAAAAACCCTTATTCTTCCCAGCTTGCTGGCAGAACACAGAGGTTTTGGGTTTGGGAGTTCTGGAATTTCATTGCTCCTAAGAGCCTTGTTAAACAGAGGAAGTGGCCAATTGTTAGAGCAGCTGCCCCAGTGTCGGTACTCAGAGGCTGAGGTCCCAGCTTCACAATTCACTCAAAGTGCTTTCAGTGGAGAGAGTGTTTTACCTCTCCCCTCCTCCAGGTTTACCCATTTGTAGAAGAGGTGATGAAGACGCTGATGCTTGATGAAAAGCAGGACAGCACAGATACAGCTCATTACTGTAGCTATTTATTATGACGTTTGAAACGTGGGATAATGTAATTTAACTGATCAGTTAGAAATGGCACAAAAAAAGAAAAGGAAGTTTGGAATTTTCTGTAATGTTAACCCTTTCCAAATGAGCTTTACTCCTTATTCTGTAGATACCAACAAATCTTGCACAGAAACCTGGTTTACTTGGCAACAATAGCAGATTCTAACCAGAATATGCAGTCCTTGCTTCCTGCAGTAAGTACCAATACCATCAGATATGGAAATGTTCTTTGATTTTCTTACTGATCCATGTCAATAAGCCTTTTATTTAGTGTTTCTCCAGCTACAAGTTTTGAAGTGGTCAAGTAGACCCCGAAACAAATCAAAAGTTACTTTTACTGTGTTTAAAACACATTCTTTGGGACATTTGTGTTAATCTCTGTCTCCATAACTGAAGTTCTGTATACTATAAATGGTGCAGTGGTGCAGGTCTGAACAGCCTCCATGTGTTCCAGGTTCATTATTCTTTACCTATTCTAATTGTATTCTTTACTCAGGAAAAAAAAAAAAGCCACTATTTTATGTGAAAAATCTAATTCAGCATTCGGGCATCAGTTTGTCTTTAAACATTGTGTTATTCCAGCTAAATGGACTGATTCTGGAGGTATAACTCAAAATACAGCATAGCTTTATGCTTGACAAAGGTCAACTTGTCAGCACGCTTCTGTATCATCGTTGCTAATGCATCTCCCTTCTGCAGTTATGTTCTGACCAGCACAAAATGAAATTCATGTCCCTTCCAATGCAAACCATTCTATGATGCTATGATAAGTACAGGAGTATGGCCACAGAAACTCTGTTACAAGCACAGTTTTAAGATTTTCCCTGAGCTGCCTGCTGGCTTCTCTGTGTCATGCTGAATGTCATTCACACATAGGAGTCAGATGAAGAAAGGTTTAGGCAAGGAAGCCCAGAAAGTGAAAGAAACACATATTTAATTAAGGCAGTTTTCAGTCATAGTCAGGCTAATTTGGGGGCTATTATTTTTTCTAATTACAAACCTAACCAAACATTTGCTTCTCCTCCCTGTTATTTGCAGCCACCAACGCAAAACATAAACTTGGGCCCAGGAGGAATGACTCAGAGTGCATCCAACCAATCTCTCCATTCACAGAGCAATCTCAGTGATGCAATCGGGACGGGCCTTCCTCCTTCCTCCCTCATGCAGAGTCAGATTAGCAATGGTGAGCTTTGGTCCCCTTTGTGCTGCTTTGCTGTTGCTTGGCAACAAAATCATTAATGCAGAATATACTTACAGAGCTGTAAAAGATCTCTCCTAACTCACCTTTCAGGCATACGGGGGTTTCAGGCACATGCTGAAATCATCACAAAATGGCTACAGTCAATAATGATGCTGGCTTCTGCAAGGACTCCAGTCTGCTTTGTGTTTCTGTAGGGGAAATGAAAACCATCTTTTTCATGAAATGCCTAATGAAAATCACCATGTAAAGATGCATCCAAGTTTTTAGTCAGAAAAATGATATCTTGGGCTATTTTTCTCTAGAAAGCGGAGGGGTTGACCAGGGTGAAATGGAATTGCTTGCATGGCTAACCACACAACCAAACCTTTAGATTGCAAAGACCTTCCAGGATATGTGCCCTCCTAACAATAACTTGGTGTTGCATCAGTCTTTGTCCTCTACAGAAGCTTGCAGAGCTTGTACTACGTAGCCAAAGAGCCTGCACAGGCATTTCACATGAATAAGATAATACACTTTGTGTTTGTTTGTGGAACTGAAACTAATCAAAAGACAAACCAATTGTTTTTACTCTGTGCATTTTATGGTATGAATATATTTATTTGGCAGTTCCTAGTCTTTTAGGCAGTTCTGGTTTCTGTCTTTCCCAGAGTGACAGAGAGAAAAACCAGTTTCTATGAACAGAAATACCTGATTGTAAAATCACTTTGGAAGGGGGATTCGAGAGCAGATGCAAGCCATGAAATGACTTCTGAGTTCTTAAAAATCCATTTGTGGTCAAGCTGATAGTACCTGTTAAACTAATGGATGAGGTGCCTACTTTAAACAGTTACAGCTTGTAAAGTGAACTTACTGAATTTATCTGGGCCTTCTTTTTTGAGAGATTTATTACCTAGTATAAGTACTATAATAAGTCAGTCAAACATTGGTTTATATTACTAAGAATCTACATTTTCAGTGTTATTGCTGCTGGTTTTTCTTATGTGCTCCCCAGTTCTTCATAGTAAGTTAGTGCTGACTGAAAGAACCAGCCTCAGAACAGAAGCAGCCAGGGCAGTTTACCTCATGTTGCAGGTTTACTTCATGTTGCCCCAGCCTTATACGAAAACCCAGGTTGAGTTGTGGGGGGTCTCAGGGTAGTTTATTCTCTGCCTGGTCATGAAGACTCCATCACTTGGGTAGTGGTAGCTATTCTATCATAGACATACCAGCCCTGGGAAGCAGACTGAGGACACAGCTACCGTTCAGAGCAGAGCTGTAACTGAGGATGTAGGAGCTTGCCTCTTCTGAGTAGCCTGGGTAACAGCAGCAGTGCTGGCATGTGCTCTGCTGTGAGAACAGGGCCCTCACACCCTTGGGCTTGGGGACACTCCCTTGGGTTGCCAGTCTCTAATGCTACTGTCTCTGTGCCAGCCAGAATTGAGTCAGCACAGTGATGATGCATGACACAGCATTCCTGAGGTTGACTTTGAGACTGAGCGATTCTTTCACATGGGTCAACAATTGTTGGACAGCATTTGGGGGGAAATAGGAATAAATATGCAGAAATAATTCCAATATAGGGGCTCTAGCACTTGTGGCGATTTTTCATCTAATGGCAGTAGAGATGAAAGTCTGTCATGGACACGTAACAGCACTGTAAGAGGGGGAGGAAAAGGGAAGAAGCCACAGAAGATGGTACCTTTTATTCTTTATTGCCCTCAGTCAGGACTGTACAGGAATCACCTCTGTAGAACAGTCACTATGTAACCACACGTATGGTAATTGCATAGGGGCAGCTAGGTCAATTGTAATGATAATTCTGTCAATGGGGACAAGCTAAAAAACAACCCACCAGGATTTCAAGTAAACCCCAAGTCAGTGATTCTTCCTGCCACAGCCCTGCAGGCAAAGCCATTCGGTTCAATGAACCAGCAGTGAAATGCAGCTGCCTCCAGACAGAATTGGGCTCAACTGAGAACTTTAACTGTTCAGAAATCAGGAAGGAAGCCTTCCAAAACAACCCCCAACCGCCTTAGATCCATGAAAGTATGAAAGAGGTTCAGTGCTTTGTATTTATCCTACTGTTCTGGTGTTTTTACTTACACACTTTTGGCCATGCTTTCCTATTTTCCCTTACAATCACAAATTACTCAAACTTTTTGTTTTGTTGCTCTAAAGGCCAAGATTCTCCAAGTTTTCCCACGCACATAGGGTGAGGTTTACCAACACTTGCTTCACTCCATCTCTCACACAAAGCAGCTCTAGCTCTGGTCAAACACCATGTGGCTCTGTGTTGTACAAGCAGAAGTAGAAGCTCTAGAAGACATACAAAACCTGGAGCAAAACAGAAGCTAGAGCTTGACCTGGCTCCACTGGTAGAGCTGTCTGTCTTATGTTGAAAATGCTGCTTGTATCTCTCCACAAGAGGAAAATATAATAATTTACAGCAAATTTGCCCATTTTGAGGTCTATACAAACCCTTCAGAGTAATTAATGAGGTCTGTACTAAGAGAATTAAACACATTTTTCAGAGGCTGTAGATACACTAGATAACTGTGAATTCAGATATCAGAACCTAATACTACAACATGATTCTGTTTCTTCTTGGGATTCTGCATGTCTTCCATTCTACCTACATTTACTTAGACTGACAACAATACAGCTGAATTTTAGATAGACAACAATACACACTATCACATTTTAGAGAGTAACAATGCACAATGAAAACAACTTCCAAAAACTCATTCATAAAAGCATTTACAGCCACAAACAACAAAAAATAAGAACCAGTTTTCCCCCAATTTTAGTTACCCAACAACAGGATTTTTAAAAATAAGCATACTTCCAAGTAAAGAGCATGATAAACTCAGGACATAACTGGAGCAGTCTGATGGTTCCATACAATGATGCTGGAAAGGGAATACTGTAATGACAGGGATTATTCTGGTGACATGGGAAATTAATCTTCTGAAAGTCTGTGGTACTTCCAGTCAAACTTCAGGGCAGGGAGAGACAGGTTTGTGCTCTGAGAGGGTCCCTCGTCACTTCCTACTCCCCAGCTAAGAGGGCTGGCTGGTGGTGGAGCAACTGGACAGAAGCAGCAACGTGCAAAGTGTTTCTCAGCCACTCCTGTTCCTACCCATTGTCACTATCTGTGTGAAGGAGGAGTCAAGAGCAGGACAGGAGGAAGGAAAGGACAAATTTCAGAGGGCTGGGATGTATCCAGAGTCCAGGTGTTTTCTGAAGTATCTGCAATTACTGGTTTAGGGCATTGCTGCTGGTTTTGGTCTTCCTGTCTGCAGTTCTGTACTGGATTTGGCTGCCAGGAGAAGGAGGATCACTCTAACTGTGCAGTTTTATTGTCTGTAGATAAGAGGGAATTTTAATAACAAGGAGTTTTTTCTTTGGTTTTGCCTTATCAGAAGGTATTTCAGAAAGGGCATGAGGGCTTTAATGCTCACTGTACATTGCCAATAATAGCACAGATTATTCTTGTTGCTCTCTCTAATTTTTCTAGGTCCTAATCACGTGTCTATGCAGCAGTCAGGCCAGAACACCATGCCCACGACCTCTCTGAGTATGACTGTCAGCAGTCATGGAACTGGGCCTGGTTATAGCCATACAGTGCCTGCATCTCAGAATGTGCCAATGCAAGGCCAGGGGTCAATAGGCAATTATGTCTCTCGAACAAACATCAACATGCAGTCTAATCCAGGTAAACTCCCTCTTCCTCCTTCTGGGCCAACTTGACTTTTCAGTGACCTCAGAGGTTCACCACACTGGAATTTGCTCTGTAAATGTTTTCTGTACACGGTGACAAACATCCAAGAGGAAAAGACAGCTTTAACATCTCTGAATTGCTGGGTGTCAGGCACCAGCACACGTCAGAACTTTAACTCACACTGACTTGCTATGGTTAGCAGGGAACTGGGGGAAAGAGGGTGCCCTGGAAATGCAGCAGCACTATCCCATAGCCCCTGGCAGCGAATCCCACAACTGTGGATCTGAGAAGCCCCTTTATCCTAGCTGAAAAGCCTGCCAAAGAGTATTACACATTTACTGTTTGTACATTATGACCCCTTTTTTGTTACTTTCTCGCTGCTTTCAGGACATAGAGAGACTAGCAGGCAACTCAGAATGAACCTCTTCATTCATAAGAAGTGTTTACTGCTGAGTACTGAGTGGCATGTCCAATGCTTAAGAATTCTTTCTGACAATAAGAAATGTAGAGATCAAATAAGATGTAGAATGTCAGTTTATTTAAACTGTATAATTATCAGGTATATAGTAAGATGGAAGCAGAAGAAAGAGTTGATCAGAAAAGAAATGCAGCAATGAATTAGGAGGTAGCATCAGTTCTAATTTCTTTCTTTAATCCTACTGGAAGAATGAGTATATTATTTTAAATAAACTAATAATAACCAAAGCTAGATGTATTTTTAAATACCTAACTGGAGCAAATGGCAAGAACTGACCATGTAATGACATCCTTTCCGGATTACAGTGAAGAAGAGTTAAATACATGCAGTAGGAAAACATCTGCCCCTGTGGAAAATTCACATCTTTATCGGGATGCATGTTAGCTGAAGGTTTTTAACTTGCTTCTGAAGAGACTAGGGAGACAACTGTCACATCCCTTTAGAAACAGTGTTTTCCATGTGCATTGTAGTGTCCATGATGCACCAGCAAGCAGCAACGTCACATTACAACTCGGCACAAGGAGGGAGCCAGCACTACCAGGGGCAGTCCTCCATTGCCATGATGAGTCAGAGCAACCAAGGCAACAGCATGATGGGTCAGCGGCCGATGGGCCCCTACCGAGCTTCCCAGCAAGGTAAACTCTATTACTGGGTTATTGATAGAGTTATTTTTATACTGGTGATAATTCAGTGCATCCTGTGGGGTAGGCAAGGCACCGGAATTTCCAAGTCACATTTCTGAACAGGGAATCCCATCCAGGAACACAGGAGATTTCAGATGGTGGAAGTGTGATGCCAATCAGATGAACTTGAATCTATTTTCAAGATGTATCTATTTAATTATTTCAGGTCTTTAGAAAACATAATTCTGTCTAAAAGGGATCATATATCTCTAAAGAAAAGATGAACAATTTGATGTACAGCTCCCTCCAGCCACTGGGAATCTTGTCAGTTCTTTCAAATGGTATTGGATCAGCCATAACGTGGCACATTAACAAGGACACATTTCT